TATTCTGAGCTCTTCTCTTAATTTGAAAATAACTGTCACCCTGTTTCATATGATGAAGAAAAACGCGCTTTTCCTTACTCTTTGTGCTTTTCCCAGAAAGCGTCTTAGTAGGCCTAGGTAATTATGCAAAACCTAGGCCTAACTAAAAAATTAAAATTGTCATAGTATGTAACTCAAGTTAAAATAACACTTTTCATTACTTGTGCAGCTTAATCAAATATTATATGTCATTTTAAAAGACCCATTGGTATTAACATATAGTAACATCAATGTATTTTTAAAAATTAGACAGCGACGTTCTCTCAGAAGTTGTTTTGTAGACGTTTATCTGTTGATGACCTTTTGACCTCCTGAATTCTGCAATGAGATTTTCGGGTCGATTCAGCCGAGACAGCCCGAGTGGAGTTTCATGTAAATGTTTCGTACGGAAAAAAAAATCGCGTCCAGCGAGGTGGTTTGACCTAAAAAAAATGTCTGAGCATGTGCAGATTGTGCTTATCTGGCTCATTAGCATAACAATACTAAAATTAAGTATTGTTACAACAAGGAAGTAAGAAACAGAAACTTAACAAAACACTTAATGGCACATAAACTAAAGTTAATCAGCATAAACAGTTTATTACATGGAAATAATCAGTGATCAAGATCTAATGTGTGTGCAGTGGTGGCGCCAGTGGGGGGTGGGCAGTTAATATAGCCCCTTGAGTACGGGATCAGAGTCCAGAGTATAAATTGTACTTTGAAATCGGCTTTCGAGATAGAACTGTCTGATTTTATTCACGTCGTCAAACCACAGACCCTATACTTTCATCCGGCCTTTCATCAAGGGAGACGTTCCAAGTCCACTTCATACGCCCTTGTATATCAACAATTGACAACTACTTTTATGCATTACTAGTGCGTTTTATAAATAAAGTTGAAATCCTTTTAGTAAAAAAACATATTCAATTGGTACTTTTAAGCATTTGAAAACCATTTATTAATTATACATTGTAAATTTAAGTATTTAAAAAAATGGTCATATATCATATTTAATTACCCTTTACTGAATGGTAGAGACCATGGTTAATCAACGACGCAAAAAAAAAAAAAAAAAAAAAAAAAAAAAAAAAACCAACATGTGCTTCGCTGTTTGAAAAAAAGGTTAATACATTGAACTGCAGGCTATAGAAAAAAAAATTGTTTTACAGTATTCAATACATTCTCTAAGAGCCTGGTCATAATACGATGTGTTATAAATACATTACCTTTCCACTAAACTTCGAGATTAATCAACATTAAAATAGAATATAGTCCATGGTTAAATTTTTTCAGTGACGCATCAAAAAATGTGTTTTATCGGTAGAAGAGGGGTGAGAGCAGTACATTTAACAGCTAACTATAGAAAATTGTTTTTACCTTCTTTGAAACGCCCTTCGTCACATACGATGGATATGCTGTTCCTCTAATGTTCCAAATTAATCAATATTATAATAGATTAACATATAGGACAACTGCCCACATTTATATCAGATAAAGGTAGGCCTACCTACATTTGTGTTTGTGTCTATAGTTATATGAAGTTCAATTGTTTTGTAATTCGCTAAAATGAAGGAAGTATCCTTATCTACGTTCGTGAATCGAATATAGACCGTCTTATTTAATAATCTTAACTAATACTAAAGCGATATAAGAAATGACGAATCTCAACAATTTAAAGACTAACCGTAACAAAAATTCATGGAAATTGCCTATTGTTTTCAACTTTTAATTTGACTGTGCTTTGTAATTTTTCGGAGTAAGCCAAGCCTAGGCCTATCCATGGAGGTATTGTATTAGTTCACTATAATAATATCTATGACCTATCCTAGTTTTATATTTCTTGTATCTGGTTTTTACTGTAACGCTGACGATAATCTCAATACAAATTCTCAAAAATATAATGCGATTTTGCGGTTGCTTCCAATGGTGTTTATTTTTATACGAGACGTATTAATTGCGATTTTATTTACACTAAGCCTGTTAACAATTCCCCACAACGAAATGGAGTAGCCCAAGAAAATAATCTCGTCGCGTGGCCAACTATGCGATTAAACTGCCTTTAATCGCATAACCCACTTTGTACGCTTCGCTATATTTTGAGAGGCTCTCTTATACCCAACTTTACAAACCCTAGTGTGTTCATATTTTAGCTGTTGCTTACAAAATTCTCTACCGAGATCCAGTAATAATTTCTCACAGCATTTTTATTTTGCAGTATTTTGCCCATCTCAAAAGAAAGCGATGTTGAGATGAATTTAAAAATTCAACCATTAAAACACCAAGGACTTGGCAGGCTGAAACCATAAATTAAAAATAAATTATCAAATTAAATATAAGCCACATGGTCATACAATACAGTAGCTGTATTTCAAAATTTGTTTAAAGTTCTTTATGAAAAATATCTTTTTGACTATCAATATGAATATAATATTATGTGGTATTTTCTGCATACTTAAATTATAATATTTTTTTTTTAATCAACAGAAATCGAATGAAAACTGTTAAGAGCTGAATTATATACCTATAGGTCGAGAGCAATGGACATGGACGAAAAGATTGCTATCACAGGAATAGGGTGTAGGTACGGCGATGGGGTGTCAGGATCCCGAGGAATTTGGGAGATGTTAAAGAACAACAGAGATTGCACAGGTCCACCTCCAGACAATCGTTTTGATAATCCGTTTTTCTTCTACCCCGGTGAAAAGAAAAAGGGTAAACTCTACACTAAGGCCGGAGGCTATCTAAAACAGAATCCTCTGATGTTTGATCGCCAATTCTTCAAAATTTCTCCAGGTAAGCAGACATGAAAGTTGATAAATCAAAATTCGCTACGTTCTATTCTTTGTTACAAAAAAAAAAAAGAAATCCTTCAAATTGCGATTCGAAAACGAATTGCTGTTTTATATTTATATTACACTTAAAAAAGACTTATTTCAGGAATGGCATGGCTAAATGGTTAAGTTGTCGCACAGGACATTAAGTAAATGAGCTATAAATTATGGGAGCGCAAAAAATTGCCTAAAAATCTAAATTTGTTTTTTCACTATAGATCAACAGTTTATTGTCTTATTAATCATATACCAAAGTATTAGTTCTGGAAGTGGTCAACAAATTGTTTATTTAATGTTATTTTCATAGTTAATTCTATTACTGTAAGTTATGATAATGACACCTATGTTAATTTATTATACATTTAGAAGAGGCTAACCACATGGACCCACAAGTTCGAATACTTCTAGAAGTCGTATGGGAATCTTTAGAAGACGCGGGAATTCCTGCTTCGAAGTTACGTGGTTCAAACACTGGTGTATATATGGGCGTAACGGCCAGTGAATACAATTCACTGACAGGTGTACCACAGAGTAACATCAGTCAATACACAAATTCAGGAACTAACTCCTGCATGATTTCTAATCGTATTTCTTACGAATTTGATTTACGAGGACCCAGCTTTTCTATCGACACTGCTTGTTCTTCTTCACTATACGCTGTACAAATTGCCTGTGATGCTCTCAGAGGAGGAGTCTGTGACACAGCAATTGCGGGAGGGGTCAATATCATACTTACGCCTTCCGTTACAATTGGATTTTGTCAAGCTGGCATGCTTTCTCCAGATGGACAATGTAAAAGTTTTGACGAGTCAGCTAACGGTTACAGTCGAAGTGAAGGTGTAGGATCAGTAGTACTAAAACCCCTCAAAAGAGCGATAGAAGATGGAGATAGAATTTATGCTGTCATTCGGGGTGGAGCACTCACAAATGATGGACGAACACCTGGAATTGCAAATCCAAGCTATGCTGCTCAAATTGACCTTGTAGATAGGGCTTGTGCAGCAGCCAGGGTAAATCCACTTGAAGTCGCGTATATTGAAGCTCATGGTACTGGTACTCCAGTTGGCGACAGGACGGAAGCGAATGCTATTGGTGAAGCCATGGGCAGGCGACGATCAGATGACGCACCACCCCTCTTTATAGGTTCCATAAAGTCTAACGTAGGTCATGCAGAAGGCGCTGCTGGTATTGCTGGTGTCATTAAGACAGCTTTGTCACTGTACCATAGAGAAATTCCAAGTGTTGTACATTTTAAAAGTGGTAACCCCAACATCAATTTCAAAGATTTGAAGCTACAAGTCCCTACCTTAATGACTCCTTGGCCTTCCAGGTCCAAGCTTCTTGCTGGCTGTAGCTCATTCGGATTTGGTGGGGCGAACGCTCATATTGTCTTTGAAGCACCTCCATCCGGGCAATTCCGTAATAAGCTAAACAGCCTTAGTTCATTTACTTCTTCTGAATCCTATAATATGTTAATGCTCTCAGCAAAGACAACAGATGCTCTTAAGCAAATGTATCTTGATTGGACAGAATTTCTATCTACTCTTGAATCAGATCATATGTTCCAGAACGTGTTATATACTGCTAACATGAGGACCCATAAGCATGTACAAAGAGCAGCGTTTATAGCAAGGTCTAGAGAGGAGCTTCTGACACTGCTCCGCATGAAAGTAAACGGTGAAAGTTCTGACACCATAATTGACGGCAAGGCACCAGAAGGCAACGCTATTAACAGAACCGTGTTTGTCTTTTCCGGTATGGGTACTCAATGGTGGGCCATGGCTAGACAGCTGATGAACGCATGTCCTATTTTCAGCAACGTAATACAGGTAATGTTCTTTCCAGATCGAATTATTATATGAATAATAACAGACAACATCAGTAAACTTAATTACAAACTTTCTTTTTAGTTATTAGACGAATATCTTCGAAAAAACGGTGCGAAATGGTCACTGGTTTATATGCTGTCAAAGGAAACTGCAGAAAACAAGATTATTAAAGATACAGGTTAAAAAATAGATATTGTTTAAATATATTCAAAAAACTATATTCGTTTGAACATTCCTATACACAATTCTAACTTTAAATAATGACAACACATAAAATATCGTTTTCTTCTTTTTGACAGAAATTTCTCAAAGCTGCATATGTTGTGTTCAGATCGGATTAGTTGAATTGTACAAGCATTATGGCATAATACCGAGCGCAATCATTGGCCATAGTGTTGGAGAGGTTGCTGCTGCCTATACCGCGGGACTTCTGACTATGTCCAGTGCTGTTAAAATCATCTTTAAAAGAGGACATCTTCTCAGGAAAACAAGCGGTTCAGGAACTATGGCTGCAGTTCTTCACGATGTCGAAAATGTTAAAGAACGCCTGGAATCTATTCACACAGATATAGACGTAGCCGCTATAAACAGTCCTTCACAAATCGTACTTTCTGGCAAAATGGAGTCTATCAAAGCGCTTATTTCTAAACTGAATGAAGATGGAATCCAGACAAGACTCTTGAAGGTAAATAATGCATTCCACAGTCGTCAGCAAGAGATTCTTAAGAAAGAATTCTTTAAAAAGGCAAGTTTTCTAAATAATGCCAAGTCCTCAAATGAGCAAAGGCCTCTTATTCCAATGATGTCAACTGTAAATAACAGTTATCTAACTCTCCAAGAGGCTAATGATCCTGATTACTGGTGGTCCAATATCCGCCAACAGGTGCAATTTAGGGGAGCAGTAGAATCTGTACTTAAAGACGGTTACAATAGCTTTCTCGAAATAGGAGCACATCCGGCATTGTCACCTGCAATCAAAGACATTATTGCATCCAAGACAAACAAACCAATCATCCACTTCATCGCACATTCTCTTAAAAGGCCACGTGATATAAGCTCTCCCGCCAATGATATTCTTAATTTCAATATATCACTGGCACAGATGTGTGTGAACGGTTACCCAATTGACATGAGGCCATACTTTGACGGTCATAACTGTAAAGTAGAATCGCTACCATTGTATCCATGGCAACGTGTGAAATGTTCAGCAACAACTACCGCAGCCGATACAAAATTGCGTTTTCCTGGTTTTTGCCATTCCCTTCTCGGTGAACCAGAGACATCTGCAAACTATTCTCAAAGTACAAATCTTCGTGTATGGAAATCAACCATTGGAACTGACAAAGAACCATGGATTGCTGACCACGTCGTCCAGAATAGTATAGTTTTTCCTGCTGCTGGATTTATAGAGACAGCAATTGCTGCACACCATATACTTTTTGCGTCCGCTTTAAGTGTCGTTATAAAAGATCTCCATTTTGACCGTTTTCTTTTTGTTTCTGAGGCCGGTACTCTTGTGGAAACAACTACTGAGATGGAATCTAATGGAAGAGCAATGTTTACATTTAGTTCATTCAATGCAATAGAAAAGAAGTGGACGAAACATTCAACAATGAATTTAAAATCGAGTATAAACACATTTGAAGAACAGACCGAACAGAAGTATCTTTCAGTCAACAATATCATAAATCGATGCACTGGTATACTTGATAAGCCTGCTTTTTATACTAACAAGAAGCAAGTTGGTTTCAATCTTGGAGAAAGTTTCATGTGCATCGAGAAGGCACATTTTAGTCCAGTGGTTGATGAGGCACTCATTCACATTCGTGCACCAGACAAGGTAGTTGCACAGTCCAATCGTTTCTACATCCACCCAGCCCTCCTCGATGGCATACTTCAGGGAATGGCTGGAATTGAACGAGAAAGAACGAAGACTTTAAATCCCAACGCAAAACCTGAGGGCCGTGTTCCTAGATCTATCGAGAAAGTTCACTTCAGAAAATCAATATTTCCAGAAAACGTGTATCTTCACTTTATCATAACAAGTAACGGAGAGGATGTGTATTCAGATGTTTATATTGCCGATGCAGATACTTATGAGGTAATAGGTAAATTTGATAAAATACGTTTTGGATCCGTCGGTGGTCGCAGTGAATACAAACAACTTATGTTATTGGAGAAGAAATGGGTTCCAATAGAAATGGATATGAAACCATTCGATACAACTGGTCTGACATTAATAACTGGATATGACGATGTGCTGTCTGCTCAGATGAATAACACACTGATGTCAGTCGGAGTTCAATCCAAGATACAAAGGTTTGGAACTACTCAGTTTGAGCAGTTAGACTTAGAGAATGAACCACTATCAAATGTTATCATCACTGTTAAACCTGACAACATAAACAAAATTCACAAAATTTCTAAAGAAGAATTTTTGGAAGAGCAGTCTCACATGGCGACGATGTGCATCAATTTGTACAAAACTCTATCCTCTACTAGAAATTTAAGTCCAAATGTATGGCTTATTACAAGAGATGGATTTCCTGCCACGAAAGATGATGCGGTCGATCCTCAACATGCCTCAGCATTTGGGTTTGGTCTTGGTGTGATGCAAGAAGATCTAAACTTCAAGCTATCTATACTAGATATTCCATCAGATGTCGATACAGTAGCTGCAGCAAATTGGTTATTTGAATATATTTGGAAAAGAGACAATGGCCAAAAACTCGTTGCCCTGCGTAATTATTCAAATAACCTAACTGGTGATTTCACCACGTATTGTCTTCGCCTGTTTGTAAGTGACAGCGGATCATTTCCTTACAAACACTCATCCAACAAATGGAAGGTGGAAGTTGGCCAAAGCATGAAAACTGGAAGACTCTCACTAGTAACCTGTATCGCAGCAGAGGAAAGCAAATCTGCTCAATTCACAACTATAAATATTGAATCCTTTCAGCTAATTAGACCTGCCACGTCTGAAACCTCCTCTACAGAAATACATCAGGTTGCTCTGTTTTGTGGACATTCAGAACAATCTAAGCTAGTAATGGGTGTTTGTTCATCCAGAGACTTACTGTATAAAGTGCACTGTAATCATAATGATATAATTGACATTGATAGCAAACTTCCTGCGTCACAAATTATAAATATTGTCACATCCTATTTTGTTCCATATATGGTTGTTCGTGACATACAGCCAGATGGCACGACCATCGTATGTATGACATCCAATGAAGATACACGAGGTTTAGCAGTTGCACAAATAGCTCTAGAGCTAAACCACAATGTTGTCGTTGCCGTCAAAGACCTATCTGTCACAAATGGAATTCACTTGAATTCAGATCGTTCAGTAACCATTGTTGACGGTAAAGAGTTAATGAGAGTTTTGCAAAAGCAAAGCGTTGGCTGTGTAATCGGGTCTGAAGGCTATGTAAGAGAAATATTAAAATCTAACAGAGGAATGAAGGAGAAGATGAGACCTTTCGCTACAATAGAAATGCTCGATTCATATAAACACGTTTGTCGTAAAAATAACCTAGGGCTGCCTGTAAATGCAAGAGTTGTTATAAAGAATTATGAACTGTCATTGATTGAAGGATTTCAAGAATTGAAACCTTTTATAAAAAAGTTATTACATATTTTTGAAAAGCCTTCTTTAGTGTATCCTGTACCAGACGTCATCCCCCGGACAATATCTTTAAAAGAAGTAGAAACTCAAGATAATACTTCCCTCAGTAATGTCACCTTTTCAGTTGATAGCAATGACGTTCCTGTAAATTATAGTTTTGCTGGTGGTGAGATTAAATTTAGTATGCAAGAATCTTACATCGTTACCGGTGGGACAAAAGGATTTGGTTTGTGTCTTGTAGAATGGCTAGCAAACAATGGTGCTGGTTCTGTTGCCATCTTAAGTAGATCCGTGGCAGATGCTTATGCCGAGAAGAAGCTAGCCTGTCTGAGAAAGCGTGGAACAAAAATAGTTCATATTAAAACTGATATCACAGACAGGTCGGATGTAGAACGTGCTTTCGAAACCGTCGTAAATGATTTGTCTAAGTCATTATCTGGAATATTTCATTGTGCCGCGCAATATGACGACAGGCTACTCAAAGACACCACACAAGAAGATTGGAAAAAAGTGATAGCTGCAAAATCATGGGGTGCTCTGTTACTGCATCAGACCTCAACCAAGTTTAATGTGCAGCTGAAATACTTCGTCATGATTTCATCTTTGGTTCAGTTGATAGGGAATACTGGCCAAGCCAATTATTGTGCAGCCAATACCTATCTTTCATCTCTTGGTCATTTTCGTAGAAGTAAAGGTTTGGCCGCAACTGTTCTTTGTCCAGGAATCATCCGAGATACTGGATTTGCAGCTAGAAAAGCAGAACTTGTTGATTATTGGGAAAGGAGAGGAGTTGGGAGTTTAAAAGCAGTACAGGTATTGGATGGACTTGGAGTTATACTTCTATGTTCTGTTTCTGAAATTGGTATATGTGGGCAATTCCGAGTCAATGATTTTATTATAGAACATAGAGGTCTTTTGAAGAATTATACATCTGGCACCGACAGGAGAGGTTTAATTGAAGTAGGGTTCTCTTCCTCAAATTCACTAAATGCGTCTGAAGATGAAAGCAATCTCAATCACCTAAAGCCAGAGGAAGCTAAATCTTTTATTTTTCAGACACTTTGTGGAATCATTTCGAAGCGTGTTGGCTTAACTAGTGAAATATCGCCAGATTCGTCCCCTTCTTCCATTGGAGTCGATTCGTTAATGTCAACTGAATTGAGCGGAGACATTCAGAAACTTTTTGCAGTTCCATTTTCACCAATGGAATTGATGAATGCAAATGTGACGATTCAAGCATTGTCAATGTTAATTTACAAACGATTTCTAGCAAAAGGTAATTTTGAAGGACACGAAAACAACGAAGAAGACGAAGAAGACATGTCTTGGAAAGCTTGGTTTATTTTAGATGAGAAAGTCACTTCTCCAGAAATCCAGCTAATTTGCTTTCCTCCCAATGGGGGTGGTCCGTCTGTATATGCAAGGTGGCAAGAAAAAATGAGAAAGTACAAGGTTCAGTTAATCATGGCGCAACTTCCCGGATGGGAAGGACGCTACCTTGAGAAACCTCTTCAGACAATCGAAGAAATAACCAGCCAGCTTTCTGGTCATCTTGTTCCTAGGCTAATTCCTGGTAGATTTGTATTATTTGGCCATAGCCTCGGTGGACTGATTGCATTCGAAGTTGCTCATCTGCTGAAGGAAAGAGGTTTACATCCGGCCCACGTCATCATCAGTTCCTGGTACGCCCCAACGTTAGGTTATCCTAACGTAATTGAGCTTGAAAAAGCTCCAAGTGCATTACGACAAATGGAACAAGACATCAAGAACAAAATTCCACTTACCGATAATAAATCTTTGAGGCTTTCGTTTCTTGATGATAATTTGTTGGCCAACGCTGAACTGATGAGACGTCTTATTCCTTGTTTTCGAGTAGGCTTTAAAATTTGCCAAAAATATAGCAATACCCACAAAACTAAACTTCAATGTGGAATGACCGTGTTCGGCGCCAGGTCTGATCGATTTGTTTCACCCACCTTTCTAGACGACTGGCGTCTGGAGATTGAACCAAGTCGTAGTTTCAAGAAAATCCTATTTTCCGGAGGCCACATGCACGTTACGTCAGCAAACAAAAAGTTTATTTTAGAACTACAGATTGCCCTAAAAAGTGCTTTCAGTGCCTAAATTATGAATCTTGCGATAAATTAATAATTCTTAAAATTATAAATTTAGTGTTTTTAATTTTTAAAGTTCTGTTTTTATGTAATTACAATTATAGAATATTACGCTACATAAAAAGATTTGTTTGGTCATTTTTTAAATTAATAGATTTATAAAAGAGTGAGAGATTGCTTACAATATTTTACAGATTTACTTCTTTGTGTACACAATTAATAGCCACGACATTAACATTAACATTAACGAATGAATGACGTCATTATTAAGGCAGTTTTATGTGTATTGATATTTCCATACTATATTACAATGCTATTTGAAGTTAGAGCATAGAAAATTTTAGACGATAAAGATGTATTCACCTCTTAAATTTAAATAACTAATAACATTCTTAAATTCGTATACATTATACGTACACATTAGCTTTGTACTCTAGCTGTTCGTTTTAAATTGTACAGCATAAAAGTAGTTCATTTTATAGCCCATTGTCTTTTAATTAAATCAATCAATAAATTAATAAATCAATCCCAAGGAAGTTTATTCAGGTTATACTGGCATTCGGACCACAAAAAAAATACAAAGCAAACAGCAAAAAGGATAATTTTTGTTTTATTCTATGCTAAATGTAGAATATAATTATTTTACAGATATATTTTTTGTATACTTTTTTGTGTACACAATTAGTAGCCACGACATTGACTCAAAATTCCATAAAAGAATGAATGACGTCATTATTAAGGCAGTTATATGTGTATCGATATTTCCATACTATATTACAATGCTATTTGAAGTTAGAGCATAGAAAATTTTAGACGATAAAGATGTATTCACCTCTTAAATTTAAATAACTAATAACATTTTAAAATTCGTATACATTATAAGTACACATTAGCTCTGTACTCTAGCTTAGTAATGTTCGTTTTACATTGTACAGCATAAAAGTAGTTCATTTTATTATTCTCTTTTAATTAAATCAATCAATAAATTAATCAATCAGTCCCAAGGAAGTTTATTCAGGTTATACTTGCATTCGGACCACAAAATAAATACAAAGCAAACAGCAAAAAAGTTTTTTTTTTTAATTCTATGCTAAATGTAGAATATAAATTAATTGAAAGAAATTGATTTTATTTCAGTAGATAAGCATTGTACCGTTTAAACCATTGTAATTTGTTTTTTAATTACTATATAACGGTCAAACCAAAATTAAATTTGTCTTGAATTTTACACTTTATGTGTTTTTAAAAAAATTATGTTTTAAAAAGGATTGTGATGTTTAATATCTTTAAAATTTTATTAAGATTATAAATGAATAAGTTTTGTCTAAATCAAATCGAAAATGTATAGCAAACTTAAATTTTATTAGTCGTTAAGTTACTTTTTAACACAATATCATCGAAGTACAATAAATGATAAATATAAAAATTGTCTGTATAGAGTCTTTATTATAAAAGTACTAGTTTTGCAAATTTAGGCCTACCATTTCCGAGCAATCTCCAACCGTGTCAAAAGAATAAAGTGCCTTTTGCTACCTCCTTCGAGAATCGATTCATTTGAAAAGGTTATTGTTCTCCTGTACACAGAATAGAACAGATTTTTGCATACATTAATTTGGAGGCAACCCATTGAAAGCAAGAATGATTGAATTATGAAGCCTTTAACAATAAAGAACACACACACAAAATCTGAGACAATCATATACACGTGTATAGTTGTCTCAGGTTTAAATTAATAATAGAGAAAATAAATAAATAACATTTGAATATTACGATGGATTTAATTAATACAATTTTTATTTTTTTTTGTGTGAATATACTTATGGTGGGTTTATCTTTAGTAAAGTGTTGCAGAGTGTTCCAACTCCTGGCTGCTTGTTTTCGTTGTTGCGTTGCCTGAGAAACGAACTCTTGGTGGTAGCACATCCATCAAGAGTTCGGTTAAGAAGTACATAATAAATTAGAGCTACGCTTAAACTGGTAACGCCATCAGAGACAATTACACTTTTCTCTCGGTGGCTTTTTCTCGAATGAAATATAGTATATGCTCTATAACAGCTCCAAATTGCCGAGAATTAATAGAACATCAGGACACAACAGTATTGTGTGTCAACACTTCATATTGCCACTTGCTGTCAAGTAAACAGACGCTAATGTTAAGATAATAAATTTACTTTTAAACCTGATATTCGATAGTTTACCTTATTAACACATTTTTTTACTTATTTAAATTGATTAAGCTTTGTTTTGATTATACAATAATTGTTTGTAAAATTTAAAATATTATGAAAAACGTAATTATACCTATGGCTAGCTAACCTATTAGGTAGATATTAATATAGTAGTAAAAACAACCTTTTTTACATTTTCTGACGACAAAAATAAATCTACCCTCCAATCCTTAGCCTATATTAGATTATCATGGGTATGAGTGTTTTCTAAAACGGTTTGCTAATAATATACCGTGCTGTTGTAAGGCAGTGTTTTCAATTGATAATATTATTGTTACTATTATTGCCCAGTTAGCAGCATGCTGACTGGGTTCTGTTTCCTAGAGTTTCTTTCTTTCTTTACCCATACCCAGTCAGCAGCAGCTGACTGGGTTCTGTTTCTTAGCAGTTTCTTTCTTTACCCAGTCAGCAGCATGCTGACGGGGTTCTGTTTCCGAGCAGTTTCTTCTTTCTTTCTTTCTGGCAACATTTTAAAAGGCTACTAGTGGCAAACTACTGGACCGATTTAATTTAAACTTGGTCAGTAGGACCGGTGCCACCTCCCATTTATGTGTTGTTCACAACTTGGGGTCAAAGGTCACATAAGGGGCATTAGGGTCAAAAAACCAAAAATCGTGTAAAAGACTACTTGTCTCACAAATAACGTAGCACAGTCTTCCTTTGAACATATACATTGGCATAAGGCAGGGTCTGTAGGGTGTTCAGGGATAAGGGGTCAAAGGTCATTAAGAGGTAATTTTTATCTTTTTCTGGCAACATTTCAAAACGCTACTAGTGCCAAACGGTTGTGCCGATTTTAACAAAACCGGGTCAGTATAATCGGTGACACCTTTCATACATGGGGTGTACACTGCTTGGAGTCAAAGGTCATATAGGGGTCATTAGGGTAAAAAACTTTCAAAAAAATGAATAAAAGACTTCTGTCACAAATAACATAGCACAGTCTTGTCCTGGGCACATATGTATTGGCATAAGGTAGGGTCTTTATGGTGTTCAGCAATTTATGGTCAAAGGTCATTAAAGGGTTATTCTTTTCCCAGCTAACACTTTAACGTTAAAAAAACGTTATAAAAACGTATGAGTTTGGTTCAAAAATCGTTTTAGTAAAACGTTTCGAAAACGTAATTTGTGGAGTTTTGGAAGCGTTTAAATAACGTTATAATGTAATGTTTTAAAAACGTTATTATAAGTTCTTGTTTTAAAAACGTTATAAAAACCTTTACAAAGTGTTTTTATTACGTTTGTAAAACGTTATAATATTACGTTTTAAAAACGTAATTATGTGGAGTTTTTAAAGCGTTTTAATAACGTTTCAATTTAACATTCAGAAACGTTATTATAACGTTATTTCGATGTTTTTAAAACATTCTTAAAATGTGTTACAATACCAAAGTCAATGTAAATAGAGTAATTTTTAACTCTAGTTACGTTGACTTTGGTCTTGTAATACCTTTTAAGAATGCTTTAAAAACGTTTAAAAACATCAAAATAACGATAAAACTTTTGAGTTTGATTGGTATTCCAAGACGTTTTCAAAACTTGAACAAAGGCTGTACACTGAACCGTGCATATCCTTAGGTCGGCCTCTGGTCACATGTAGGATTCCAACTACATCGTGTTAACTTTGATACTCTGGGAAGATGTGTATAAGAGACAGGAACTAGGCCTATATACAGTAACTGGGAATATCCATGCCGAGTCTGTCTGGTATTAGATTATACTTTCATAAGTACAAAATTGTATAGGCCTAGGCTAGCCCTGGCTATTGTACCTATGTTAATTGTTTGGGTGTAGCATTGGGTACGTTTGGTCATATACGTACGTCATATAAAATATGTTAATTAAATTTCTGGAATAAAGTGGTGGTCATTTTTGGTTGCGAGATAACGTTGTAAACGCTGTGATTTAATTGTGATAAACGTGTTTATAAACGTGCTTGTAAGTATTTTTCTTACGTTATTATAACGTTTTTATAACTTTTTGTACAAGGAAACTGCAAATAAAACGCAATATATGGCAACGTTTTAAAATCGTTTTAAAAACGATTTATAAAAACGATAACAATTTCTCTGACAATTGGTGAAAATTTGGTTTTGATATAACGTTCTGTGAACGTTGTGATTTCGTTATAATTATACATTTGTTGAGGAGTCTTTGCGTACGTTTTTATAACGTTTTTATACCGTTATGGTGCATTAAATCTGCAAACAATAGGCAATATTACACAGCGACGTTTTAAAATCGTTTTTAAAACATTTTATAAAAACGATAACATTTTTGATGAAAGTTAATGAAAATTTGGTTGTAATATAACGTTCTGTAAACGTTGTGATTTCGTTCTATTTTATGCACCTGTTTGTAAGTTTATTTGCGTACGTTTTTTAAATGTTTTTTTAACGTTTCGGTGCAAACAATCTGCAATCAAAAGGCAAGGTTTACACAGCGACGTTTTAAAATCGTTTTTAAAACTTTTTATAAAAACGATAACAATTTTTGTGAAAATTGGTGAAAAGTTGGTTGTGATATAACGTTTACAGAACGTTGTGATTTCGTTCTATTTTACACACTTGTTTGTAAGTTTTTTGCGCACGTTTTTCTAACGTTTTTTTAACGTTTTGGTGGAAAAGTCTCTTATCAGAAAGCACAATTTTTTAACTTGCACGTTTTAAAAACGTTTTGAAAACGTTTCACAAAAACGAAACCAAAACAAAAACCAATTCAAAACGTTTTTTTAACGTTTTGTGTTAGCTGGGTTGTTCTCTCTAGTAACATTTCAAAATGCTACTAATGGCAAACTATTGGACTAAATTCAATCAAATTTTGTCATTTAGAACCGGCGACACCTCCTACACCCCAGTCTGGGGTCAGGGGTCACATAGGGGTCATCTGGGTTAAATTTTCAAAATAGCCCAATTGAGCTCACATTTACCAGGAATGATCCTTTGGACCTTCTAAACACAAAAAAAATACTCTTCATCCCATATGTCAAAGTTCATAGGTCAAAGGTTCCAAATGTTACTAATGGCAAACGATTGAACCGAATTCAATCAAATTTGACCATTAAGAACCAGTGACACCTCCTACACCCCTGTCTGGCATCAGTGGTTACATAGGGGTCATCGGGGTCAAATTTTCAAAATAGCCCAATTGAGCTCGAATTTACCAGGAATGATCCTTAGGACCTTCTAAACATGAAAAACTACTCTTCACCTATAGGTCAAAAATCGCAAGGGTCACTAGTGAAAATTATCAAATATTGCTAGTGACTAACCATTGGACCAATTGCATTAGACAGACTCCTATCAAACATGGGGTGTTCACAGGTTAGGTTAAAAGTCACAGTGGTTATCTCTTAAAAAATGACTGGGTTCATGTTCTATTGAACATAGTATCTCCAGTTCTTTCTTTCTTTCTGGCAACATTTTAAAAGGCTACTAGTGGCAAACTACTTGACCGATTTAATTAAAACTTGGTCAGTAGGACAGGTGCCACCTCCCATTTATGTGTTGTTCACAACTTGGGGTCATAGGTCACATAAGGGGCATTAGGGTAAAAAATCCAAAAATCCTATAAAAGACTACTTGTCTCACAAATAAAGTAGCACAGTCTTGTCCTTTGAACATATACATTGGCATGTGGCGGAGTCTATAGGGTGTTCAGGGATAAGGGATCAAAGGTCATTAAGGGGTAATTTTTATCTTTTTTCTGGCAACATTTCAAAACGCTACTAGTGCCAAACGATTGTGCCGATTTCAACCAAACCGGGTCAGTATAATCGGTGACACCTCTCATACATGCGGTGTTCACTGCTTGGGGTCAAAGGTCACATAGGTGTCATTAGGGTAAAAAACTTTTTTTTTAAATGAATAAAAGACTTCTTCTGTCACAAATAACATAGCACAGTATTGTCCTGGGCACATATGTATTGGCATAAGGTAGGGTCTTTATGGTATTTAGCGATTTACGATCAAAGGTCATTAAAGGTTTAATCTTTTGTTCTCTCTAGTAACATTTCAAAATGCAACTAATGGCAAACCATCGGATCAAATTCAATCAAATTTCGTCATTAAGAATCGGCGACACCTCCTACACCCCAGTCTGGGATCAGGAGTCACATAGGGGGGTCATCGGGGTTAAATTTTTAAAATAGCCT